AAATAATGATTTTCAATAAAAAAAAATTAAAAAATCTTATAACAAAAAGGGATATTTAGTTATAGCTACCAAGTTTAGACATCCTTTAAATGCCTCTCATTCTTACTTGATTCGGCCAAGCAAAAGAATTTGTCAAAATTTATGATTACCTAAAAGAGATAGGGCCCATTAGTGCAACTTGCATATAAATCCAATTTCTATTGGGCCCAGCCCACGTGAAACCCCTCTAAATGAATACTGTTACTACTGTGTAGTCGGGTAAGTCGAAGGTCTTTTCGAAAATGTTTTTTTTATTATTTCTATAAGATAGTGACAAAGGTTATGTATAATTTATTCTTTCTCAAATTTTGTTTAGTGAAATTTCACTTGATACTATTGTTATGTTCTTTTTCTTTTTTTTATAATTCTGCTTTATATATATTTAGTTATATTATGTTTATGATTTTAGATAATGGATCAAATATGTTAACTGTTGCTTTATATATATATTTTTTTATTTTTTTTACTATATGTTGTGTGGTAAAATAAGTAGTTTCCCATTTGAGTGGAGACAATATTATTGAGTTGTTTACATTATTATTGTTCTTTTCCTATTTTTCTTGTTTCCCTTTTGGTGTATTTGATGGTTATTATAATCATGACTTATTTTGACTTTAATATCATAACAAGGCAAGAGTGCACCTTCACCTCAACGTGTGTCAATTTAAACCAAATACTGTTGATATTAAATAGGAGTAACATTTATGTTACCACTTTTGATGTGTCAGAATTTTATTACTCCATTTTCTTTGATCCAATTGGTGTAATGTTAATAAAGGGATATGTACAATAATATAGCAAATTATATATAAGCGTACAATATATATTTTATAATTTTACATAATATTATGAATCAAGTTTAAATATTGTTTTTTTTGCATACATTGTATATCAAATTGTGTTTTGGGCTTAAAAAATGTAATGTAAATTTTGGATTATATTTTGAAATGTAAGTTAGATAATTATGCTTTGATGAAAATTTTCATTTAATTATGAGAGAATATTAAGTTAGTAATATAAATAATTTGAGCATCTATTGGTTAATATCTTTTTATTCCGAGACAAGTTTTTCTAAATTCCAATTTTGGTTTCTTATTATTTTTTTGTCAATGATTCAACGTCGCAATTTTAAAATTAGAAGTAAAAATAGTTACCATATGAGTCGAGACGACTACAGGTATGCTTGGATTCTATTTTGGTGAAAAAAGAGACGTGAATTATTACTCTATAATATTAGCTGCCTATTTTGTCATCGAAGTCTATCTGAGAAAAAGACAAATATTATAAATTCATGTCTTGTTTTGACTTTTTGATGACTATAATAACACTTTAACAGTTTCAGATCAATTCCAAATTCAGCTTATTATTTCTGCCTTTTAATTAATTTATTTATTTTTATATAGTTATTATTCTTTTTTGTGGTCCAGTTTAGTTAAAGTATACAAATATATAATTACATATCTATATATATATATATATATTACCTTTGTTTAAATCTCGAGAAAATTGATGAATATAATCTCGAGTAATTTAAATGAGTGGAGCAATTTTTAGGGGACAACTAAATTTGATCTGATTATAATTTATAATTAGGACACCAAAATTTTCGCTTACAAATCATACTTATTTCATAAGATATTTCTTGCCTTTCATTTTACTTGGCCTTTATAATAAAAATAAATTGTTTTATTTTACTTGTCCATTTAGCAAATTAAGAAAGTTCTATTGCTTTTTTCTATACTATTCTTAATATTAAATAATTACATAAAATAAGTGTGATCAAATTTCGAATTTTAAAATATCATTAATAAGATTAATTTGATAAATATATCTCTAATTAAAACTTTGTTAAGAAATGCGTCAAAACTTAAATATACAAAGGTCAAATAATATAAAATGAAAAAAATTCCTATATAAAATTCGAGTTCAATTTTTTCATTTAGTGTTTCAGTAAAATATGTGATGAAGCCAGCGCATGGGGGGCCTTAATATTAAGCAGAAACTATACAACTTTCCATCTTTTGTTCTGGCCTACTTGCCCTTTCCATACTTGGTTGCAATTCCAACTTATTATTTAAACTACTATTCATTTCACAATATTGAAATTCTTATAATAGTTAGAATTGGTATAGTAAAATTATCATATATTTGTTGTTTTTTAAGAAGTGTGTCACATTAAATATAGACCAAGTACATGTGAATGTAATAGTGATGGATGAACTAGCCGATGCCCGATAGGAATTTAATCTGATCTCTTCTACATACATAACAAATAATTTTACCATTCATAAATAGTGCTCATTTTTCGTCAATCCGGACCCCCTAAGCCCAAGTTGTCTACTACTCTATTAATTATGTTAGGTTCTGGAGAAGCAAAAATTACATGAGTTTTCCCTGTGAGGCTATGAAGCATATATACGCAATGATAATGGTGTCTTTTAGGCCATTGTGATTGACTAGTCCACCACGTTATCATGTTACATAAAGTGTCATATGGTACAAAGTTGTTCATGTGGAGGATTTACATTGAAAAAAGACTAGTTTTTGTGGATGATTCTAGAGAAATATGAAATTTTTTCATGAAAGATTATAGAATTGCATAAAAGGTCCCTAAAATATTCTAGGCATATACAAATTTCTATAAATGGGACATATGTAGAAATTATTATTTTTACTTTAGCCATTATATGAGTAGTATAAATAAAGGAGCATCCATAGTAATTTTATCAAGTAAAAATCCAAGTTCTGATCTACAATACAATTATTTCTAGCAATTCTCATGTGTTCTCTCTATCATTTTCTTAGCGATTCCTAAAACATTAGACTAATTTGGCATAGCAAAATCGTGAGTAGTACCGACTCAACAAGATTGAGGGCCTAAAGCGAAATTTATGAGAGGGGCCCTAATATTTTTTTTTCATCATATATACTTTATTTAAATCTACTTTTCTAGCTTTTTTAGATGCGAAGTCATTAATTACTGTTTTATGATCAATTTATTTTAATAATTCCATTTTAATTGATAATATAGCTAATTCATTCAATCTCTCTTGAGACATTGCTGACCTTAAATAAGATTTGATCAATTTTAGTTTGGAAAAACTTATTTCGACTGAGGCAACGATTACATGAACTATCTATTTTAGATGCGAAGTCATTAGGTACTGTTTTATAATCAATTTGTTTTAATAATTCCTTTTAAAATAATATAGCTAATTCATTCAATCTCTCTTGAGACATTGCTGACCTTAAATAAGATTTGATCAATTTTAGTTTGGAAAAACTTATTTCGACTGAGGCAACGATTACATGAACTATTAATATTATTCTATAAGCAATATGTGTATTTGGAAAATGATCAAGTCTTTTATTTGATTGAGTATTTTCATTAGATCATTATCTTCTACTTGTATTATTTCTCTTAACACTTTTTATTCAAAAAATAAATCTAAATCATCAATATCAAAATAACTATTATGTGTTAAAGAAAATTCAAGATTAAGACAATGTTTTTTTAAAATTCTCATTAATTAATGATTTCAATTTTTTACTACTAAATAAGAAATCAATTGTTTTTTTTTCTTCTACCATTGCATTAAGGTGTATGTGTAATTTTCTTAGAAAACTATATGGTAAAGTGTTAGTAGTGAGAAAATTAAGATTGAAAAGTAAGTTTTTCAAAATAAAATAGGCATATGAAATTTCAACTTTATAGTCGATTGGTGAAAGATGTGAAACATAAGAATAGGGATGGGAAGGTGTACAAATATTCTCTCTCAAGAAAAAGTAGACATAAGAAAAGCTATTCCTAGTTGAGTTTTTGCTAAAAACAAACAAAAAATTCCATCATTACGCCTAGGTGAAATTGAAATCCATTAACAAAAATTAAGTTACAATATAAATTGTACTATGTTCTTTCATTATTATCATTGGATTTTAATGCTGCCATATTAGTCAAAAAGAAGTGATTTTCTAGTTGTTTATAATTATTCATTATATATTACATATAAAAGATATGAGATACGTAATCATTTTCTTTTGTTCAAATATAAAAGAACAAAAGATCTTATTTCCATTATCTAGTTACCTAAATTTTTTAAAATTAATTTTCGGATTAATTTTCATACATTTTGACTAATTTTATAAAATATTTATCACCATCCTTTAACAATATGTATCATACAACTCTATCCACCAACACTAATACATAAAAAGAATCATTTAATATTTTGAGTACACTTAATATTTTTATCTCTCTTAAAATTTGAACATGAGACCTCATCCCCGTCACTTTTTTAAATCAAGATATCAATTAATATTTATCTAAAGAATTTATTTAATTTCTTCTATTAAATAATTTGCTTTATACTTAGATAAGAAGTAAACATTTTTTTTCTAGAAATCTCCGATGGAGGGGATTAATTAGACATTGACCCTTTTCAGTTTATTAATGGAGCAGGGTTCAAAAGTCTTTGATCATCCCACCCTTCGCCACCCTCGAACCTCCACTCCCCATATCGTCCCATTTTCATATTTTTTTGTTAGCATATTTTTATATATGAAATTTCTAGAAAATTTCCATCTTTTTATCATTTATAAAATATAAATAGATTCCTTCATATTATTTTCGCCACTTTTAATTGTCATAATTTCATTTTTTAGAGTCAAGCGATAATAACTCTGACTAACATTTTACAATGTATTTTTTTTATCATATTGATATGCAATTTCTAGTACTTTTCTTATAATTTTTGATTATCTAAATTTTTAATTTAAAATATATATCAAATTAATGTAATCTAATATAACTTTAAAAAATAGTTAAATTAATTTTTTTTAAAGTAGAACATGACAATTAAAACTAATTTATACATATATGCGTCGAGTATATGAAAGGGAGAGAGGGAGTATAGTACGGAGTATTAATTATAACGACTGAAGAGTATTCTGAACCAATAAAAACTCGACAACACTTTTGACGAAACCACTCTGGTATTTATCAAAACCTCTCCTTTTACCTGGGGAGATCCTTCCACTTCCCAATAATAACGATATAGTTTTTTTTTTTCTCATTTGCCAAACAAAGAAATACTAAACATAAATATCCAAAAATATATACACATACACACAAGAAAGAAGAAGAACAAATTAATATGGGTAGAGGAAGAGTACAATTGAAGAGAATTGAGAACAAAATCAATCGTCAAGTAACTTTTTCAAAGAGGCGATCTGGTTTGCTGAAAAAAGCTCATGAGATCTCTGTGCTTTGCGATGCTGAAGTTGGACTCATTGTTTTTTCAACTAAAGGAAAACTCTTTGAGTATTCCACCGACTCTTGGTACGTATCCTCTAATTCTAATTATATATGTAGTTATTTATTTCTCAAATTTTTCCTGCACCACTATATTTTGACTTTTTTCCTATCATCTTTTTTTTCTTCTAGTTTTTGTGTGCTGAAGTAGACCTCAATAATATTGCATACAATTATACAAAACTTATTTAAGTTGATTTTTCGAGGGTTTAATTTTGATAGAATTAACAACGTGATTTTTTCTGAATTTGATCTTAAAAAAATCTAGTGTACAGATCTATTTGAGAATGGATACAAGATTTTTTTTTGTTAATTAAATCTGAACAGATCTATTTGAATAATACAGGAAATAATTAAAGCTTATATCTTAAACAGTACTAATTATGTAACTGAATAGAAAATGGAGATACGTATGTAGAACTGGAATGAGGTCATTTCACTAATTACATAAAGCAACTATTGTTATATATAATTAATTATAATACGATAATAATTAACATAATCTTTCTCTTTTAAGTATATTAACAACCCCAGTACTGTGTGATGCTGTCGACCCAACTATTTTCATGACGATTTCTTTAAAAAAAGCTTTCTTGTGGGCATATCTCGTGAAATTAGTTGAGTTGGTAAAGCGTACTAATTGCAGAACGTACTCATGATCCATGTCAATGGTTCAGCCTTTCAATGTTATACTCAATGGTTGTTTAGTGTATTTTCTGGGTACAAGGGTGAACCCAAGTAGGGCATGCACTAAATGATACTTTAACAAGTTAAATTTAGTACTGGAGAGTATTTATATATAGTACAAGTGGTAAGTAAGAGGTTTTAGTTTAGAATTATGAAATATTCAGCTTTTTATGATGGAGGTAATTAAAAGTTTGCTTATGCCAAAAAGAACTCTGCATTATTATCATTATTATTATTATTATTTGGTTAAAAGAGAAATTTTATATATATATTTAATATGCATCCATACAAAGCCGGTGGGCCGGAATATTACTAGTATGCAATATACTATGTCGCCTTTCATTTCCAACAAAAAATGATCCATCCTTGTCCGCTTCTAGAGTCTTCCATTAAAGCTTGATTCTGATTTAATTGAGTCCCTTATTCCTTTGCTAGCAAGTCCGCCACCTGTCCCTTTCGACTATGGTTGATCTATGGGCTCCCTCCCCATCTGCCGGAGCAACTCCTCACGATCCGATTTCTCGAGTCATGATGGCACCTACTATACCCTACCAATAGTTAAGTCAACCCATAACCCAGAACATCAAGTAATGAGTGTAAGGGCAGAAACTAGCGAAAACAATAATCTAAACAAAGACAACAAGGTGGAAACAACCCAAAATAAATATATACAGAAATCCCTCCCAGAACCTGCAAGTCACTAGTACAAAGCTATCTAATAAAGAGTACAAGTCTCAAAAGTAGACCACAACAAAGCGTGTCTCAAAGGCAACAAGACTAGCTAAAACAAAAGAAGGAGACATGAAAAACCCAAAATGCCAAGTGCTCTCCCTCGTCTCCAAATCACAGCTGCAAAAAAAGGTTGAAGCTAATCACCACTGATAACTGGTACTAGAACCTGCATCACGAAATAGATGCAAAGATATTATAAAAGTGTAGGTGAAACAGGGGCGGCTCAACGTAATCGGAGGCCTAAAGCGAAATCTTAATTAGAGGCCTAAAATCTAAATAAACTTCACATCCATTTATTTAAAATTTATTTTTCATACATTTTTAAATGCAAAGTATTACTTAATATATTTTTTTATATATAAATGATTTATTCGATTTCCTTTTCAATTATTAGTTTTAAATAAGAGTTTATTAATTCAACGTTGAAAAATATTATTTTACTCGGGCAATCATTATATGAATTGTTAACATAGTTCTACAAGTAATAAGTTGACAAATTTCAAAATAAATATAAGAGTTAGAACCATAGCTTTGATGAAGTTGATAATTTGGTTACCCCACATTTTACTATGGTTGCTGTAATGCTTGAAAATGTAAGAAGAAATGGAAAAATAATTTATAATTCAATTTGTTCAACACTTTTCGACTATTAAATGATATTTTTGACAGAATATTACTCTAATTTATCACCAATTTAAAGAAGAGTGTAAAAGGAGTTTAAAAAGAAAATAATGTGAGTATTAGTAGAGAGAGTGTAAGAAAATAAAACAATATTTTCTTGATTTCTTCTATTTGAATGGGATTGAAGAGAATAAATAATAATTTTAAATATATACTTTTTATCATAATAATCAATATTTTTTATAAAAAATTAACACATAATTTATTGTTGGTAAAAAATTGAGGCCCCCTAAAATTGGGGCCTAAGGCCAATGCCTTATTAAACTATACATAGAGCCGGCCCTGAGGTGAAAATACAAACTGTACATGCAGTTGAAAAGTAGAATAAAAGAACTAAGGTTACTGAGCAAATATTTCTTCAGGCTTTGAGCTTTGCTCTCTTTAAGGAAATTCAGGTCATTATTGAAGAATCTTTCTTCAGAATATAATAGTTTGACAACATCATATGACTCGAACAAACCTTGGACAAGTTATTAATTTCAAAGCTCAACCAAAAGAACACATTACTTCAACAAAATAATATTCATCTTTTGTAGAGAATGAATTTGGAGACTATATTTCTTTCCCTTTTCTCAAATTCTTTTTCACCACACCAACTTTCACTTTTTCAAACACAGTGCAAATACTTTCCTACACCTCTCATACTTTTTTTTTCCCTTTTCAAACAATTAAGAAGTCTCTCTTTTCTTTTTCCTTTTGGCAAGGACCCCTACTTGTTCATCAATCACCAACAAAATAGTACATAAGAGAGAGGGACATAAAGCCTAACTTCTTGTCAACATGCTCATCCCTTCTCAATTGTGAAGATAATCAATGTAGTGCTAGCTATACATGGATACATCTTGACTAAAAAAATTTGCTCAACATTTTTAATATTTGAGCATATTTCATAACAATTCTAAAAAATGCAATATTGGAAATGGTTGAATTTTATAAGTTATGTAATAGTATAACGTATTTAACATGATCTTCGATATTATATATATTAAAAAATAAGGATATCTTCTGGCTTTTCATATTTCCCAGCAAATAACTAAGGGAAGACATTGCATCATTAATTCTTAAATCTTATTGGTAGTGCTGTGCAACAATCATTGCATCATATTTTGTCTAATACAAGGCTCTGTAGTGACTCCGCAAGCATGTGCATGCTAAACCCTACAACAAATAAAGGATTTTGTGTCAATTATTTAGAAACATTATCGTTATATTATATTTAGTGTCAATAATAAAAATGAATATTTCTAACGAACACTTAATATAAATATCTTTAAAAATTTTAGCGATTCTGAATGTAATGACAATAACTCAAATACCACTAACAGGAAAATATATTGCCGCTAAATGTCTTTTTTTGTTGTTATTATATATAAAAGTATGTCTATATATTTCTTGTTATGTCATTGTCACTGAAAAATTGGTTTTAAACTTTCTCATAAGGTTAATTCCAAGCACTTTTCGTAGTAAACAAATCTGTCTGGTTAATTGTTCAAATAAAGAGATCTTTCTCATTATTAGAGATCTCAATATTAATCATAGTTTGCGCAATCTGTCTATATATAGGTGTTAGAATTCTTTCGTAGATTAATTAGCAAGGTAGTGAGATAATAATATTGTAAAACATGAGTTGATGGTTATATTATTTATGTTTGAGTAAGTTGTTAGTGGTAACAATCGTGATTACACGACTCACACCAAGTAATGAACACTATCTCATTAATTTATACACATCAAAATAATGTATATTATAATTTTAATAGTAAAAATGCACTTGTTCCAACATGAAGCAAGGCTTTATATTTATCAATAATTTATAACAAGTATTAGAAGATACAAGTTCAATAGCTATTCATGTTGTTAAAAGCTCGTTGCTCAAGTTTGTGGATTTTGGGGGATAGGGAAATTTAAATGTCAAGCAAGTTTTATATAAGGATCTCAACATTAATTTAGGATCTCAATTTAGATGTATCACTATTTTGTTTGACCATGATATTGTTCTGGTAACCAACAAGGGTTGTGGTGGAGTGGTAAGTACTCCTTCATTCTTAACCAAGAGGTCTCGGGTTAGAGCCCCTTCGGTACGGAGTCGCCTTTGTTAGGGAGCGCTTTACCCCAATGTGGGACTTCCCGGTGCGAATTTGGATTAGTCGGGATCCAGTGTGGATACCGGACACCGGGTGGAAAACCAAAAAAAAGATATTGTTCTTGTAGTTATATGACTCATCGGACTCTTTAAAAATATCTATGGATAAGTAGTGCATTTTTGGAGGATCCGACACAAATCCTATAACAACTTTGAAGAATCCAAGCAACTTAGACGAGTGAAACAAATGATGTTACATCTTTTTTTTTTCTTTGGGGTCTCCTCATAACACTTTTAATTTAAATAATTAAATGTTTCAAAAATATTGAAGTAACAAAATTTTATTATCTTTCAAAAAATAATAATAAAATTTAGACATATCATGTTGTAATTTTAGGGTGATTATATACTAATACAAGTTGATTTTTTTAATGGAAGTGTAAATATAAAGCTTTAATTTTAACAAAATTAAACAAATTTTAGGGTGAAGAGGTTCTCACGAGAACCTTTTATTTAGCGGACTATCCAATTCGACCCATATGGGTTGGATTGATGACTATCTAGAAATGGATTAACATATGGATATTATTCATATTATCCACTAAAAAATGGATATTCAAATGGATTATATAGATATTCATATTATCAAATATTCATTTGAAATGCTTGTTTAGGTAAGAAGGGTGAAAAATAAAATAAAATTCGTATGTTTGTTATTTTCATGAATTTTTGTTCCAAGAGTTTAAACTTATTTTGGCTTTTAGTTTGTGTCTCACATGACTATTTCTTAATATAGCTGTTAGTTAATACATTTCTATCCATTTAAAATATGGACGAATTTAATATTTTATTCATTTTATTTTGCTGATCCAACCCATCCAAATTGCCATTCCTAGTGATAAGTGCATATTAAGGAGAATCATGTCTGAATGGATAATATATAGTTGTGGCTCGATAAAGGAATATATGAATAATAACATTACATTGCTGGAGTCTGGAATAAGAACAGCCCCGTCGGTCGTCGAAAAATTACGTTGTATATATGTGTCAAATTCTACATTTAAATGATATATATTTAAAGTTTGACACCCTTAACAAAAGTAATGCATTTTGCACAGTGGTAATGGTGTCCATTTGAATGAAAGAGTTTCAGGATCGAACCCGAAATAGAACAATATTTTTTTACAGACCATTATTGTTGAAGCCCCTTAATTAAATTTTTTGTTTGTTAATCATTAAAACTCACATAGCTCAACATAATATATATCATCCTATTTTTAAAACTAGGCCGTTAGATTACGCGTTGATATGTGCTATCTTCTTGGTGCAACCTGATTATTGCATGTACACGATGTTACTGTGATGCAATTTTAGGCCAAGAATATATATTTTTCTTGCGCTGGGTTAGTGCAAGCTAGCATTTATAAAATCTTTGATTATTGTCGTTTCTCTTTGTGATGTTAGCATGGAAAGGATTCTTGAAAGGTATGAAAGGTACTCATATGCTGAAAGGCAGCTTAATGCTGCTACTGATATTGAAACCCCGGTATGTATGCCTACGTCTTTGTTAAATCTCATTTTAATTTATAAATATTAATAGAGGACTAATTTTGTTTAAATACTTTTTGCAGGGGAGCTGGACTTTGGAACATGCTAAGCTTAAGGCCAGACTTGAGGTTTTGCAAAGAAACCAAAAGTACGTACTCAATTAATTAATATAAAAATGATCCCTCGTTCCTACTGATCGACGTATATATATATGATTATTTACAGGCATTATGCAGGAGAAGAGTTGAACACATTGAGTATGAAAGAGTTTCAGAATCTGGAACACCAGCTCGATTCTGCTCTTAAGCACATTCGATCAAGAAAGGTACAATCATGTACATGTGCAGTTTCTTTAAGAAAACATTTTGAACTCATCAAGACCTTCTTTTTTCTTGTAGAACCAATTGATGCATGAATCCATTTCTGCGCTGCAAAAGAAGGTATGAAGCTTAATTATATCATATAGAGCTTTTTCCATATAAACTTGCCTTGTACAGAAGATTGTTCATATAATCTAGTAGTATTATAATCAATTTTTGTACAAGAAAAACCAGGGAAAATTTTGTTGCTTCTAGCTAGCTATAGCTTTGTTTTTACATGACACAGGACAAGGCATTGCAAGAACAAAATAACAATCTTTCAAAGCAGGTAATTAATAATTAATTTTCTTGTAAAATGTTTAGATTTCACTCAACAATTCGCGATGCTTTTAACATGTTTGGAGATATTGGTTGAACAGGTGAAGGAAAGGGAGAAAGAGATGTCCCAACAGACTCCGTGGGAGCAACAGAGTCATGATCATCTCAATTCATCTTCGTTTGTTTTGCCACACCCCTTTAACAACCTTCACATGGGGTATGTTCTTTGTCCCCCATCCAATTTTATAAATATTGTACTTTCATGTTATTCATACCCTTTATCATTAGCTATTTGATTTTACGCGAAAAAATTGCAGGGAAGCATACCCAACTGCAGGAGACAATGGAGAAGTTGAAGGATCATCGCGGCAGCAACAACAAAACACTTCTTCTGTGATGCCTCCATGGATGCTTCGCCATCTCAACGGTTGAATTAAAACTTATTAAGTATAAACCAAGCGGACAATATTATGCTATGTTATGTTATCTATTAATCAGATATAGTATATATATGTATGTTACATATTAGACAAACACAACTTTCATATCTAGTTAATTGTGTATTGTGTATATATGGCTGTTGTGTAACAATATCCAGAATATATTGTAGTAGTACTATATATCATCCTCTCTTTGGATATTTTGTCTTTAACGTTTTACCACTAGTACTAATATTTATTGCTCATATTACTTCCTTTTGGTTTTCCACCCGTGTTTGGAATTCGCAGTGGAGCCCTGACGAAATTTGGATCGATCGCTGCAGGGCTCATTGGATGTAGTGTTCCTAACAAGATTTTTTTCATACTCAGAGTTCGAACTCAAGACTCTGGTTAAGGGTGATGAGAATGAGAATGAAAATATTATTTTTTAATCTAAGTAGTACTATATGTCAATTAGATTCTTACATATATATGTTTATATGCTATATAGTATTCTGATTATTAATTTTTCTTGTCTTCATTAATATACATTTCATGCCAGATTGCTTCTCAATAATTGGATTAGATTTTCGACAACGATATATATGGAAGTGCTAAATGGCCAGAAAATTAAAAAAACTATAATATTTTTTTAATTTTAAAACAAACTGATCTTTTTTCCATTTTTTAGTTAAAAGGGTAAAAATATTTTAAAAAATAAAATAACATAGATAAAATATCATTCTGATCAAATTTTCTGGCCAAAAAGATTTTTCCATTTATTTAGATATATATCTAAAGTGTGTGCGTGCACGTCGATAGTTAACATAAAATTTAGAAGGCTTTCATTAATTCCCCAAAAAGACCACAGATGTTGGACCTTAATTAATTCAAGATAACTTTTTTTTGTTACCCTATCCGGAAGGAACATGAGTTTAAGAATTACGAAATAGTTAGATACAGAAGTACTCGTGTTATATATAGCCTTTTCATTATCATAGAATAGAAAATTGGAGCATTTTGTCAATCGATTGATAAAGAAACGCGAACATAATAATTTCAGTATTCCAATTAAGCTTTTGTTTTTATATTGGATTTCTGGGGTCATTAATAGGAGGGATATAGCCATGAAGGGCGCAAGAATTTTCATGCTTCCAGAATATTTACTAATCAAAATATTGACTATATATTAAGTGATTATCATAATGACATTGACTCCTACAACAGTATTTTGTCCAAAATTGTCCGTGGCCAATCATGTATGTTTTAGTCCTAATTAATCCACTTAGACTTCTTGAATCTCTCCCATTTGTTTCCAATATGAAAAATTGACTCCAGCAGTGGAGAAAAGTTGATTCTTCATGAAAATGAAATTTATGTTTTGTATATTGTTAGTGTAAATAATTTATCCGCAATAGGACAAAAACATTCTAATTATATTAAGTTTTAAGTTTTTTATATTGTTGGTGTATGTAATTTTTTTACACTATCAAGTCATTCAAAAGATTTTTACATATATATAATGTTGAAGTGCGTGACCATCTCATCTAAAAGTTTAAGCTGTTGTGGGCCGGATTCTTTTTCATGGTCAAGCACGTGAAAATTCTTTTTAATTTTGGGTGGCGGTGAGATTCACCGCCACTGCATGCATTTCTCATTGTCTTGTTTGTGTCAAATACCTAAATGCCCCAACCCCCACCCACTCATTTTTAAAGAAAATTGTAAAATTAGACTCTCAATTTGGGTAGTGGAATGCTCTAATATTCGAAGTTGAAAAATACAATAAACTGAAAGAGAATAGCTAGTAGGAATACTATATTCAAATCATGATTTGAGTAGAAATAACATATTGTATTTTCAAGATTTTAGATCTTTCATGTTGAAGTGTGTGACCATCTCATCTAAAAGCTTTTAGATGAGATGATCACACACTTCAATATATAAGATCTAAAATCTTGAAAATACAATATGTTATTTCTACTCAAATCATGATTTGAATATAGTATTCCTACTAGCTATTCTCTTTCAGTTTATTGTATTTTTCAACTTCGAATATTAGAGCATTCCACTACCCAAATTGAGAGTCTAATTTTACAATTTTCTTTAAAAATGAGTGGGTGGGGGTTGGGGCATTTAGGTATTTGACACAAACAAGACAATGAGAAATGCATGCAAGTCCACATTGAAATAGTAGTATATAATGGAATTTTGCCAAACTGCAAGAACCAATTTTCTCCTAATCCAAACAAAAAACACAATCAATTTAGGTTTATGTGGTCGGGTAGATGATAGAGTTAAAAGTTGACATTATTGGAACTAAGACTAAAGTTTCTTGGAAAAAGAGAATGAACACTATTTAATACTCCTAAACTACAGCTTGCAAATAAAGTTGACTTTTTTTTGTGTGTGTCATAAATTCAACAAATTGATTAAGTTATCTTTATACGTGGGGCTCTACCAAATTCCATAGGAGTATATGTGGCATCAGATTTGAACTTAAAAATATTTTTTTTTATAACTATGTTTAATTATGTTCCTAAATCAGCATCCACGGATTTGTATACATAATATACAATAGAGAAAAAAAAATAATGAATTGTAATCTTGTGATTTCAACCACAAATCTTGCCCACGTTTAGAGCTTTAAAAAAAGCTTCAAACAAACTGCCCCTCACGTTACAAAAAATCCGAACACCATTAAATTCAATAATTTGAAAAGAAATATTAACCTAATCATGTCACACAAACATTATAGTAACTTGCTTAGTAATATAGTGACATTTTTTAACACATAAACTCGTGTTATCATTCCTAGAGAATCAATGACGTAGCCATATATAGTGAAGGATGGTCAGTTGAACACCCTTTGTTAAAAAAAATAAAATTGTATGAAGTGCTAGTTAACAAAAAATGTTAGGTCTCCACTTTCATATTTTTGGCTAACAAAAATGTTAACACTACTATTTAAATAATTGACATTTAATTCAACAAACTAGTCAGTATGGGTCTACAAAAACTTCATGCTAAGCACGTCAAAACACCAAGAACGTAACCCCACTTTAGAAAATCCAAGACTGAAGAAAATGATTTGGCATGACATTTGAGTCACTACATATATAAGTTCACACCCTTTTCTCCCTCCCATTCTAATTCTAACATATAAAAGTTAGTACTCTTTCAATAAAAACACCACCAATTACCAATCCATTTGTGGAACAAAATTATCAAACATGATGCGTGTCCGTGTTAAATTACCAGGATTTTGTATGAATCGAACTACAGTCCATGTTCGAGCGCGTAATTCGCCTTCTCAGCTGTACAAGAAGGCGATTGATTTGATCAAATCCGATGACAACAAGTCTGAATTTTCCAGCAAAAACAGCATTGAGATGAATTACAACACCGATGAATCGAAGACAGATTCTGAAAATGGGATTAATAATAGAGTCATGGTTATGGTTGACACTAGTCTTGAAGCCAAAAGTGCTCTGCAATGGGCACTTACACATACTGTTCAAAGCCATGATACCATCATTCTTCTCTCCGTAATCAAGCCCACTCAACGAGGTAAAACTTTTGCTCCCTCCGTCTGACATTTTTAAGATCATAAGATTTAAACGTCTTTCTTTTTAAAACGTCATGTTTAATCAAATTAAGACACATGAAATGAAACAGGTGTAATTAGTCCTTCATAACTAATGTCCTGTTTTTGTTACTTGTATAGGTGAAAATGAGAACAGTGAAACTAATCAGAGAGCCTATGAACTTCTTTACTCCATGAAAACTATGTGCCAAACAAAGAGACCAGAGGTAAGTTCTGAAATGGTCAATGAAGCTACTAGTATATAACTATTTTTTTCCCGTCTGGTGTCTGGTACCCACATTGGAGTCTGACTAAATCCGAATCTGCGTTGAGAAATCCCACATTAGGGGTAAAACGCTCCTTAACACAGGCAACTCCATACATAGGGAGACTCGTACTCAAGACTTTTGATTAAGGATGAAGGAGTACTTACTACTCCACCACGATCCTTTAGTATAAAACTATTGTTTTCACCTAATAATGTTGTAGCAAGTCCAAATGGCCAAGTTAGATAATGGAATGGGAGAAAAGTTAGATACAGAGTATAGTGTCAGGCAAAATATTGTCCGTACCAAATCACATGGAAAGTTACCAATAAATATAATTAAAAAAGTGCTGTCGAGTATTTCTGGTTGGCATAATTAAGCCAATTAGTAGGTAAAATAATCTTCTTCTCTAGGTAACACTGCAACATGACAAGTAAATTAAACAACTCCTACTTTTTTGGCTTCATGCTAGCATGTGTTTACTTGCTGCTAAGCAATTTGTCTCATTTGTTTAGTTATTTAATCATTTTTTTGAGTGTGAGAGAGAGACCTGTCATGAACAAAATGCATTTGATTTCAATATGGATATTAATTAAAGGCGAATTCAAAATTTAAAGTCAATAAGAGAAGTCTTGGGTAACATCAATATCATGTCTATGGCAAGACCCACGAGGGGGCTAAGGTGGCCCTAATCGGAGTCATGATCAATATACACCTCCTTGGTGGACTTATAGTTAAGAAATAAAATTGGCTTTTGATATGATGATAAACACTTAGTCCTAACAATTGATGTCAGAGTCAATGTCATGGATTTGATTCCCAAGCATGAGGTAGGTGTTGGGAGGAGGATTCTTGGGTAACACCAATATCATGTCTATGGCAAGGCCCAGAAGAGGCTAGAGTAGCTCGGATTGGAGTCATGATCGAACACGACGCTTGCTAGGGTGAATTTTCACAGACAAAGAGATGCTCTTCTTGCGGCCCAAGAGTGTATTCATTGGAAAAACTGTTAATTGTGATGATTTGTGTGTTAACAGGTGCAAGTGGAGATTGCAGTGGAAGAAGGGAAAGAAAAAGGCCCTGCAATTGTAGAAGCAGCCAAGCAGAGAAAAGTATCATTACTGGTATTGGGACAAAGAAAAAGATCAATAATGTGGCGTTTACGCAGGATATGGTCAGGGAAAAAGTCGAAAAACAGAGTTGTGGAACACTGCATTCAAAATGCAAAATGCTTGACAATTGCAGTAAGAAGGAAGAGCAGGAAGTATGGAGGATATCTCATTACTACTAAACGTCACAAGGATTTTTGGCTCTTAGCTTAATCATATTGTTTTTATCATGCACTGTTCAGATT